CCTCCCCGCCCCCATCCTGCTCCTCTCCCTCCCTCCCTCCCTGCCTGCCACCTCCCCCTCCTTGCTAACTCTTCTGGGAGGTATTGGGGACAAGCAACGAGGGGGCACCACCACCATGACTTCCCCTTTGCCCTCAGGCAGGGAGGGATGGGGAAGCCTTGTTGCTCAGGCAGCCGGGGCGTGTTCACTGCCACCACAAATATCCCCAGCAGTGGCTCAAACTTGGGCCTGCATAGCCAACTTGCTGCTTGCCCTCTCAGCAGTACATGCACAGTTGGCCAAAAGCCCTTTCTAATATTAGAATTTTACAATTTTCCATGACTGAAATCTAATTTTTGGAAGGTTGTCATAAATTCATTCCCCCCCCCCACTGCTGTAGCAGGGAAAGCAATGACAGGGGATCAAATGGTAGGGAAAGCAGGGAGGGGGACAAGGAGTGAGGGTCAGGCTGCCTGCCCTCCCCCCCCAGTGCATGTGTGGTGGTAGGAGCAGGGACCAAGTGAAAATGAGAACTTGTGCTGATCAGATACAAAAACAAACAGAAGCAGTTGGGAGTTTTGAGCCTGGTTGGTGAAGGGGGAACTATTAGAATGGCTGGGAAATTAATTTGGGTGTTTTGTCTTTGTACTTTAAATTCTGTTTGTTAAATTGTCACAGGTAAATATAGAACCATCAGAAGAACCTTTATTTCCCGCTGATGAATTATATGGAATAGTTGGGGATCAGCTTAAAAGAAACTTTGATGTCAAAGAGGTATGAAAAGGTGGCTTCAGAACACACATGCGTATGGGTAACATTTAGTTTTCTTTTCCAGCTAAACTAAAGAGCTAAAGATCAAGTCATCTGGCCTGATATAAAGATTGTGAATGTCCAGAACATTTCAGAAACAGTTCAGTTCCTTTTCCAGCTACACAAAGGGAACCCTTGGCCTTAAGAGAGCTGCTGCCCAGCAGGTTTCTCACTGATGTAGAAATCTTAATTGCAGCATTAATAAAAAGTGTCTATGGTAACAGTTGCCCAGCCAGTCCACATCCTGCTTATTCATGACAGACGAAAATTAACATTCTTCCCAGCCCTCTGTGTAAATAGTACATACAAAGCCCATTTGCTCCAGCTTTCTCTGAAGCAGCTTATTTGAGGTGGAGGTCTGCAGTCTCCTTCAAACACTTTTGCAGGAACACCAGTATTCATCTTGCATTTTTTTACAAAAACAAAAAAGCTTAAATATATCTAGTGTTATTACAGGGACCCCTAAATGGAATAATTTGATACCCTAATATAAAAGACATTGTCAAAAGAAATTTCAGGTTTAAATGTCCTTTCAGTTACCTTATCGACTAAGTAAATCAGAGATGCATAGCATAAGCTTTTGTAAGCAGCGACCTTACTTCATCAGAGTCTGATAAAATAAGCTTACTGCTTATGAAAGCTTATGCTATGCATCCCTGATTTAGTTAGTCTATAAAGTGCAAATCTACCCTACCCTCTGCCTGACTTCAGGCTAACATAACTAACTGCCTCTTTCTTTCAGTTACCCCTATGTGCTTAGGGTGTGTGACACAATTTCTGTGGAATTTTGCTCCTCTGAAGGGGGGGACACGGGAACAGCTCTTGCAAAACTAGTTGACCGTAGTTGGTGCACTTACCGTGCTTGGCTACTAGGTGGTGAGGGAGCTGGTTTGCGTGGAAGAAGGGTCTGCTATGCTGAAAATGACTAGGGAAACAGGCTCAGTTCATATTCAAAGCAGTAACTTCACTGCATTTGTCAACCAATAGTTTTAACTTGGTTTCAAATAATTTGCATTGAAATAGGTCTGATCATCCTGTGACTGCTCCACTTCTACTAAATCGTAAATGTGTCTTGTATCCATATGCTTAGTTACAAAACCAGTCTCTTCATCTTAGTTTTAAAACAGATCTTTCATTGGTTTTCTAGGTCTCAAACTTAAGCAAAGCTCATATATGCTTGCCACTAAAAGAAAGTGACAGATGTATATACGTAGCTTTTATGTTTGAAATATGTGATGAATGTATTTGTTATTGATTAATATGCCTGGAAAGACCACTTTTTCCTCTTTGAGAAAGGAGCAAATAAAATATTTGCTTAGTAAGTCTCAATCTTAAAGGTGTATAGAATTTGGAACCTAATGTTTTCAGTCTTGAGATCCCTATAAAAATATAATTACTTTTTATAAAAGGGGCATAATTCAGAGAAGTAAAGCATAATTTATGAAGAAAGGGCTCTTGTCTGCCATCTAAATAGATACATAAATCAGGATCTTTGATGCAGTTAAAATGAAATGAAATTTTAAAAATCCATTAAGTATCTAAAACAAGTCAAATGTTAAATGTTAAAGTTTTAAAGCAAATTAAAATAGTCCAGTGAAGATAGGGGCTAATTTTATTTTTCTGTTGTTTTTTCTTAAGGTCATTGCTAGAATTGTAGATGGAAGTAAATTTGATGAATTCAAAGCTTTATATGGAGACACTTTAATCACAGGTATTTAGACAATATATTGTTATTCTGCAAATTTATCCAACAGTTATACTGTTTGGATCATCCATTTTGCTAAACTTAAACATTTTTAATAAAGTTTTCTCTCCTGAAGATCTGCATTGTTTTAGCAAGAACATAGTGTTCTCTTCCCATCTTTATAATGAAACAAATGGACCTAAAAATGTCAACTTTTTTTTCCCTGCCCCCCACCCCTGTTCAGGATTTGCTAGAGTATTTGGTTACCCTGTAGGAATTATCGGCAACAATGGAGTTCTCTTCTCTGAGTCAGCAAAGAAGGTAAGCATGATACAGTGAGCTTCTCTTTAAATTTTCCTTGGACATTCTTGGAGACTTAAGTTTTTAACCAGAATTTGTATGAGGACGAGTGGTCTTTATTGTCGTGTCTGCATCTGATGGGAGCAAGAATTGTCCAAAATAACTTGATAGTTTGGAATAAATTGGCTTTTATAAAATGTGGTGTTTTTATAACTTGCAGGTGAGAGGTAGACATGGCAACAGGATTACATTATGAAAAGAAAAATGAAAGTTGTAAAGATAACACCATAGATAGATATTATTTTCTGAAACTCCCAACTGTGGGAGGAGAGTCCATGCTGAATGCTTTAAAAAGTTAGAGTTAGATGAAATTTTACACATTTAAGCTGAATGATGTGCCACAGTAAATAAATTGGTTGTTTCTACTGGTTGGTTTGATTCTTACCAATCTTGACACGTAATATATTTTATTTGTGATTCTGATGCCCAGTTCATTGATTTACCATAGATATGTTTCATACTTTTCCTCGGCAGCTGTTGATTAACTAGTGACATTGTATACTTTCTTAAGAGATGCAAAGATGTTTTGCAGTGATACCTTGTACTGGACAAATTATAGCTGTGAGAGATGCTGTGCCTTTTGGGCATAAAAGCACCTGACCTGAGGAAGAGCACTTTATACGTGAAAGCTTGTCTAAGATCTCTCCCTACTATATGGTTCGTCCATTAGAAGATATCACCAAAAAATCCTTGCCTCCTATATATTCCCTGGACCACCATGGCTACAGCAGCACTCCAACCCTGCTACTACATGCTTTCTTATGTCATCTATATGAGCTGGCTTTTTTTCTTCTCCATTCTGCAAATTGATGTACTTCTGTGACAAAATGTTTTGAGTGAGTGCATTGTTGCTTTACAAAAGGACTCTTTGTGGCAAGGTAGCTTTTGGCCATCTTCTTTGTTATTACACAAAGGATTTTGTATTTAAAAAAACATAATATCAGGCCATAGTGAAGTTCTATGATGGCTTTGTGGCAGGTGCAGAGATCCCACCTCAGGAACACAGCTGGGTATTCGTATCCCTCCGCTGTTTCCACCACATGAGGCGGACCAGTAGGGGGTGTTCCTGCGTTGAGCCACCCACCTCCCTGCGCCCGACCACCTTCCAGGCTCCGAATGCCTCCCTAGGGGCGCCTTATGTCTGGCCGACCCCTCTCCTGGCGCACACTCGCTAGTCTGGGGGTAATGTGCCGCCACCACCCCAAGAATGGACTGTCTCACGGCCCTGTGTCCTTGGGGTAACACAGGCCTAGAGTCCCACAGGTACTCGACCCAGTACAGGCACTTGGGGTACTTCCCCAAGTCCAGGGGCAAAAAGGTATAGTCTCCCTTAGTCCACAGACCTAAGGGGTCTCTTAGGCATAATTTAGACCCACCCCTCAATAAGTCTCCCACACCAGTCAAAAAGGAGAACTTTATTGATTACAGGGGGTAGGGTAAACTAGGGTACAGGATAGAGCAATATCTAGAAATCCTAAAGGCTACCACAGGATACGAATACCCAGCTGTGTTCCTGAGGTGGGATCTCTGCACCCGCCGCAGGCTTTGCCAATAGATATCACATATCTTGGTCTCTTTTGGCAACTTTTTTACAGTATTGATGAGGAAATCAACGTGCAGGACAACCGTGTTTTAAGAGAACTTGTAGGGGAAACTGGAAGGAAGGGAGGAATTCTGCTTTACTTTGAAATGAGGGACAGAGTTGTGCTCTGTGTAATAGAGCGCAACTTTAAGCATTGCAGAAAGTAAGCCATTTTCCTAGTGACATTTCCTAGTGGCTTTGCTATGGCACTTCTGCAACTTGTAAAGATCTCATTACCCTTTTATAATTTTGGTATTTTCCTGGTGATTGGTATTGTATTGGTATAGTGACAGCTTGCCTATTGAACAGAAAGCAAGAAAATACTTTCTTTTTCCAGTGCCCTGCCATTTTTGCCAATCCATCTAGCACTCTTTGAGTAGTTTATCAAGTTCCACTGACCAATGGGGCATATCTAAATTGTATATGAAATTCAGAGTTCATACTATTCAGGTCATAATATTCAAAGTCCTTACATGAAGCTTGGTCATATTTTATAACCCCTTCAGTCACCCTATCTAATTTCTAACTTTTGTGTAATATGATCTAATGGCCTGTTATAAACTAGTCAGGGGGGATCAGCAGGCATTGGGGGAGTCAGTATTCCCCCATGCACTGCCAGGAGTGACCAGGAATAACGGTCACAAGCTGGCAGAGGGTAGGTTTAGGCTAGATATCAGGAGGCGCTACTTCACGGTCAGGGCGGCTAGGATCTGGAACCAACTTCCAAGAGAAGTGGTACAGGCTCCTACCCTGGGGGTTTTTAAGAGGAGGTTAGATGAACATCTTGCTGGGGTCGTTTGACCCCAGTACTATTTCCTGCCATGGCAGGGGGTCGGACTAGATGATCTGCTCAGGTCCCTTCCGACCCTAGAAACTATGAAACAACTATGAAACTATGATTTAGTTTCTGTAGGAGCCATAATGTAATGTTGTGGATTATTTTCATTTACAGCATCAATTCAAAAACTATACATATCATTTCAGAATGGCAGAAATTATCTATCACAGCTTTTCCCCATGGTGATCATAGGGTTTTTTGAGTGCTTCTATGTAGAGGTTGGCTAAAGATCATACATTGTTTACATTTAGGGCTGTGCGAAATTTTGCCGAGTGTTTCATTTCAAAACTGTTTCAACACATTTCCAGCTCCAAACAGTGAAATCAAAATGAAACAAATGATCCATGTGGACCCCTGGATCTGTGTGTCAGATGAGAGGAGGCTGCTGCTGCTGCTGCCTGGGACTGGTGGCAGCAGCAATCTTCCCTGGCACTGCACCCAGCACCAGTCCCAGGTGGCAGCCTGAGCCTCCTCTCATTTGGCGCGCAGATCCGACGGCTTGCACCCCTGGGAGGAGTCCGGCACAGCTCAGCAGCCCTCCCGGGGGTGTGAGCCCCCAGATCTGTGCCCTAAGTGAGATGAGGCTCAGGCTGCTTCTTCCACCTGGGACCAGCAACAGCAGCAATCTTCCCCAGCACTGGGCACAGACTGTGCCCAGCGCTGATCCCAGGCAGCAACCTGAGCCTCCTCTCATCCGGCACACAAATCTGGGGGCTCGCAGCCCTGGAAGGAACCTGGCACAACCCAGCAGCTCTCCTGGGGGTACAAACCCCTGGATCTGCTCCCTGGATGAGAGGAGGCTCAGGCTGCCTCTCCCACCAGGAACCAATGTTGCTGCTGAACTACCTGCTCAGCTACAGCCACCCACTTGGCCCGCACCTGGGTCCAGCCCCCTCTGCACACTCCCTACCAGGCTGCAGCCCCCCTGTGTGCTCCCTGCTGGGCTGTGGCCCCCCTACACGCTCCATGCCTGGCTGTGCCCCCTGCCCCTGTGTGCTGCCCGCCTGATTGCAGCCCCCTCCACCCCCCGCACCCTTTGCCTGGCTCCAGCCCCCCCACGTGCTCCCCAGCCAGCTCCAGTCCCCCCACCCCCCGCGCG